GATAAACATTAATATACTTATTCATAAATAATAAAGATGGATAAATAAAAAGAAAATTTGATAAATATGTGATGATAGATCTATACTATTATATCATTAACCACTCCATTACAAACTGAGATGTAAGACATAATATTTCTCAGTATAAGCATATCTGATGAAATAACTCAGATATGAAAAATGATATTGAATTCATTTTGAATCAAAACAAGTACGCAGCGCATTCTTTATATACAGCAGACTTGCAACAACTTAACAACTTAAACAACACTACCGTTTTAACTAATTAACTAACATTATAACAAACAATACTACTTGAAACGAACTTCTTAACACACTAGACTCTGTTTAACAACTAACTGACTCAGCTAACCATCTGCTAACCATCTTCTTCTTTTATTCTTCAACATCCCCCCCGCAAGCTGGAGAATGGATGCTAAGCATTCCCAGCTTGGATAAATTGGTATGGAATTGAGCAGTGGCAGGGCTTTTGTGAACAAGTCAGCTCCTGGTCTGAAGAGGAGCATGGCATGAGATGGATCAACCCAGCTTGAACTTTCTGCCTGATAATTGGCAGTCAATTTCAATGTGTTTTACTTCTGGAGGAAGTGGATTAGCAGCAATTGGAAGAGCTGATTTGTTGTCACAAAAAGAAGAGCTGAGCCTACGTGAGTGACGTGAAGATCTTTTAGCAAGTAAAGAATCCATTGAATTTCACATGTTGTGGATGCGCAAGAGCACGGTATTCACTCTGCTGAAGAACGAGAGACAGTATTGCTTCTTGGCACGCCAACTAATCAGGAAGATCCAAGGAAAACACATGAACCTGTGATAGATTTCCGTGTATCAGAACAGCCGCCCAGTCAGAATCACTAAAAGCTTTGAGAGAAAGAGATGAGTCAGTGTGAAAAATAAACCAGAAGCAGGACAACTCTTTATATCGAAGAACGTGATGAGCACTTGCTGGTGAACCAATGTAGGCTTGTCAAGAAATTGACTAAGTTGTTGAACGGCAAAAGACAAATCAAGCCGTGTGAATTAAATATAACAGTCTACCAACCATCTTCTATAAGATGAGGGATCAGATAAGATCACTAGCAGTTTGAGTGAGTTTACAAGTGTAAGCCATTGGCGTTTGTGGCAGGTTTGGCAAGCCAAATATCCACATCAGAAAGAATGTCAAGAGCTATTTTCTTTGACATAAGGCAATACCAGATTGTGAACCGAGCCACCTCCAAGCCAAGAAAATATTTTAAGTCACCAAGATCCTTAATCTGAAAAGTATCATCTAAATAAGCTTTGACAGCATCAATTTCGGCTAAACTGTTACCTGCTAATATAAATCATCTACATATACTATGCAAGACTGTGATACAAGAAACAGAATGTTTAACAAAGAGAGAATATCTGATGAAGATTGTGTGTAACCCAAAGAGACTAAGGTAGAGGTAAGCTTGGAGAACCATTGTCTGCTGGCCTGTTTAAGTCCATAAGAGACTTTTGAAGCTTGCAAACTTTTGCTAGGATTTGAAGAATTAAACCAGAGGTAATACCATATATACCTCTTCAAGTAAATCACCATGGAGAAAGGCGTTATTGACATCAAGTTGTTTAAGGTGCCAATGAGAAGCAGCAGCCCAAGCAAGAAGCCATCTGACAGTTGTGATTTTGGCCACTGGTGAAAATGTATCAAAATAGTCTATACCCCTCAGTTTGAGATAGCCTTTGGCCACTAACCGAGCCTTGTAACGCTCCACTGAACCATCTGCTTATGCTTACAAGGAACACCCATTTGTAGCCAATTGGGGACTTGCCAAGGGAGATCTGTGAGTGTCCAGGTGTGATTCTGCTCAAGGGCAGTAATTCTGTTTGCATGGCTTGTTTCCAACAGTCATGTTTAATAGCTTGACATAAGTCTTAGGTTAAAAATAGTTGAAACAGCTAAGGTAAAATGAAGTTGATTTGGTGAAAGGTTAGAATAGAAGGAACTGAAGATAAGGGATAAGTGTACCTGACTGAGGGACCGAAGTTCAGGTGCAGTGACCATATTGCATGATAATCTTTTAGGTATGAAGGAGGCTTTCTCAACCTTTTTGAGTTTCGGTCAGGGGGTATAACAGGAGAGAGACAGAAGAATCCAGAAGAAAAATTGTCAGTGTTAATGATGATGAAGTATATAGGGGCAAGGTTCTAAGTCAAAAATTGTTGAATTTTGAGGTAAGGGTACTAAATGATCTGCAGTTTTGAAAAAGGGAAATGGATTCATAAAGAAGACATTTCGAGAGAGAAAAATATCTCTAGAATGCAAGTCTAATAAACAAATCTTTAGTACTAGATGGAATCCTAAGAAGAGACATTTCCTAGCTCTAAATCAAACTTGTTTCTGTGAGCTTGTAAAGTGGAAGCAAAAGACAAGCAGCCAAAAGTTTTTAAGAATCATAATGAGGGATTTTTGATATAAAAGTTCAAATGGTGATCTGTTTTTCAGGATAGGGAAGGAATTCTGTTAAGAAGTACTGCATATGTCCAATATTCTTTGGGCAAGTTAGACCGAAAAAGTAGAGATCTAGCAACATTTAGGATGTTGGTGTTTACTGTTCCACCACACCATTTTGTTGGGGTGTTTCAACAATGTGGTTTGATGATAGCTCCTTTTGAAGCATAGAAATGAGGCATTATAAATTCAGCCACCATTATCGTGCGAATGACCTTTTATTTTAGTTGAAAATTGAGTCTCTATGAGAGCAAAAAATGACTGAACAAGTTGCCTAACTTCTCGATTTTTGTTTGATCAAATAGATCCATGTAAATCTAGACAAGTCATCCACAATGGTTAAGAAGAAGCGATGACCATGAATGGAACATATTGAATAGGACCCCCAATATCAACATGAATCATATCAAACATTTAGAAGTTTTGGAATGACTTATAGGAAATGTAATCTTGGTTGCTTAGCCAAATGGCAATGGTACAAGCTTTATTATCATGATATTTAAGGCTAGGAATACATGCTAAGTATTTAATTCTAGAATCAAGATATGTGGCCAATTCTATAATCCCAAAGATCAAACAATGCAGTACTTGATGCTAAAGAGACAGACTGATGGACAGGGTTGGCTGCAGAAACAGAAGATTTTTGTCATTGCATATGGCCATCCACTTTAGCTGAACCAATCGTTTTCCACAAAGTCAGATCCTGGATTAAGCAATAAGAATGTTAAAGATCAGGCAACAATTTAGTGAGGATGTTAATTTTGTGGCAGATATCAGATTAAAAGAAAATTCAGGATGTAAAGGACATTTGTAGAACTAATTTTTCAGTGAGACTTACAACCCCAGAGTATTGAGCAGTGATTTTAGAACCATTGGTAATGTGACTAAGATTGGTTTGATCTGCTTATAGTTATCAAAGGAAGAAAAGAGTGGGTAATGTGATCTGTTGCCCCTGTATCTACAATCCATAATGAAGATTTAGCACAGGTTAAAGCAAATGTTACCTGGAACTGAAGAAAAATGGGATGTAAGGGTTGACTGTGGTGGTGAAACAACAACTTGTTAGTCACATGAGTGTTTGCTCAGAATTAGATGATTGGAGCAAAGCAAGCAATTGATGATATTGATCTTGAGTCAAAGAAACACCAGAACTTTCTTGATTATGGCAGTAGCATCTAACTGCATGGGAAGATCTGTGCCTTTTTCTTCCACATTACATTATGAGCGTGGGATTGTGACTTTTGAACTTGTAACCAGGTGGAAAACCATGCTTTTTATAACAAGTTTCACCAGTATGTCTGGGTTTGCCACAGAAAGTACAGAATCGATTATCTCCATTATGTGTGAATTTGCTGGATTAAACTTCCGAGTGCTTTGTGGTTTGTAAGTTTAGAATTTTCTTTAACAGCTTTGTTAACAAACACTTTAGCTACTCCAAAATTCATCTGTCTTTCTTGTTGCAAAACTAAAGAAAAACTTTGTTGATTGGAGGAAGTGGATCCATGAGCATGATTTGAGTTCTGACCCAGCAAATTGATCACTAAGTCCTTTAAGAAACCGAATGACATAATCACCATTTTGATACTTCTTGAAAGTTGTCAATACTCCACAGAACAAGGTGTTGTACAGTTACATGCGGAGTGGCCTTAAATTTTTCAATTCATCCCAAAGAATTTTAATTCTAAAATAATTGGTAACGCTTCTATCCCCTTGTTTGAAACCATAAATCTCTCTTGAAGATCTGAAATTCTAAGAATATCCCTTGTGAAAACGTTCTTGAAGGTCATCCCAACATCATAAGCTTTATCTTCCATAATATGCTACTATAATGGATAATGAAAGAGAATGAGTGGCCAAGAAGTACCATAGTATTGCATCTTTCCCAGACAGAGAACAAAGAATCAGTGGCCGAAGGGGCTTTAATGGAGCCATCACAAACTTCAATTATTTTTGGACAGCAATGCCATCTTCATAGCTCGTGCCCAGGTATGATAGTGGACCATCAAGGACTGGAGAAACAGAACAACACTAATTTTCATTAGGATGGAGGTAATAGGGATTGGAAATGTCTTGCGCTGAATTAGATGTTGAGGCCGCCATTGATAGAATGCAAGAAGTAGTAAAAATTTGGAAGAAGAAAAGTTTGTGTTAAGAGAAGCAAAAATGCTCTGATACCATGATGAAAATAACTCAATATGAAAAATGATATTGAATTCATTTTGAATCAAAACAGAGTATAGCAGCGCATTCTTTATATACAGCAGACTTGCAACAAACTTAACAACTTAACAAACACTAACCGTTTTAACTAATTAACTAACATTATAACAAACTAATAACTACTTGAAACGAACTTCTTAACAACTAACGAACTCTGTTATAACAACTAACTGACTCAGCTAACCATCTGCTAACCATCTTCGTCTTTATTCTTCAACAATATCCATCATTGTATTTATATATACATTGGAAACAGGGTTCAATACTAAACCTTGAATTACTCGCCATGGCCAAAGGAAATACTAATGCACTTGCTCTTGCTATTCCCATCTTTACTGGGGAAAATTATGATGTTTGGAGTATTAAGATGAAGACATATTTTTTGTCCCAAGACTTATGGGACATTGTTAATTATGAAAATTATTTAGAGATCACCGGCTCCACTCTATTTGAAGAATATCAGAAGCAGTTGAAAGAAAGTAAGAAAAATGATGCAGCAGCACTTTTCATCCTTCAACAAGCGGTGGATGATAATATTTTCCGCAAAATTTCTCGTGCTCAGAAGGCGAAAGAAGCATGGGACGCTTTGAAAGAAGAGTTCACAGTGTAACAAATCCTACATTGAAAGCGTATTGGGGAGGTCTTGGGCTTATAAATGGGGGGGAGTCCCTCCACCTAATAGGTTAGCCTTTTAGGTGTGAAACTCCCAGCCCGTGACAAGTGGTATCAGAGCAGACCCAATCCGTCTTTCGATGTCCCATCAAGCGCTCACGCAGGGGCGTCCATGTGTGATTATGGGTCCACACGAGAGTGAGGTGGATGGATAGGCAGAGGGCCCCACCTGTGACGAGGGCGTCACAGGATTGAGTGAGGGAGAATGTAACAAATCCTACATTGAAAGTGTATTGGGGAGGTCTTGGGCTTATAAATGGGGGGAGTCCCTCCACCTAATAGGTTAGCATTTTGGGTGTGAAACTCCCAGCCCGTGACAACAGGCATTCCTCAGGTACGCGCTATCAAACTACAATATGGACCTCTTCTTCATTACATCTTATAATCACTTCTTCTTCGTCGCAGACTATCTCCTTAGCAGTAGGGACAGAGCCGGTTAAGTAGCAGAAAACTAAAATAAATTTTCAGAAGTAAATAAATAATATTCCAACCAACAAAAAAAAAAAAAAAAAAAAAGGAGGTCTGAAAAGTTTTCCTTTTCTTTTTATTGCAGAGGATTTCAAGAAATACATGCGACTATATAAAGCTATACTCGAAGGCGATCTGATATACGTACGAAGTCTCTGTGATAAGGATGAGAATGCGTTAGAAGCGAGGATTACGGTAAACTTGGACACAGCTCTTCATGTAGTTGTTGGGACAGGCAAGGCAAATCATATTGTGGAGTATCTACTGGATCGGATGTCAGTGCATCAATGTTTCTGAAAAATAAAGAAGGTAACACTGTTCTTTCCATTGCTGCAATTGTTGGCAATGTCCAAGCAGCCTGCATGATAATGAAGAAAGATGAAAATCAAACTTTAATTCAAGATTCAAACAAGTCTAAAAGGATACCTTTGATTGAGGCCACTCGACATGGCCAAAAGAAGATGATCAACTATTTATTGCAATTCAGCAGCAATTATTTGGACTATGATTCTGCAACACGTTTTACATCGGGCGTTCTTTTAGTAAAGTTGCTTATAACTGCTGAATTTTATGGTGAGTTAATTCTTTCTTTTGCTAACTTTCAATGCATGCCGATGAAAGTTTCATTTACTTTATTGAGACGTATTTTCAGTAAATTTCTTAATGTCGAAATTTCAAATTAGTGATCCTAGCTAATAAATTCATGTCGATCATTATGTCTCAGACTTGGCGTTAGACTTGATTAAAAAACATCCAAGTTTAGCGACAATGACATTTTATGGTGGTGACCCTCTTTCTGCTGTTACCAACTACAAATAATGCTTTGCTATACGCATTCTCCTCATTAATTCATATATAAATAGGAACCAGAGTTCAATACTTATATGCAAGTCTCATCGTCACTTGTTGTTGTGATAAAATTGTCCAATGAAACAAAGACATGTATTGTTAATCGTCAAAAACCTCCCTTATGGCAGTGGTTATAGAAAAACATTAAAGATACTTATTCACAAATAATAAAGATGGATAATAAAAAAAAAAAAAAATTTGATAAACATGTGATGATACATAATATACTATTATATCATTAAACCACTCTAGATGGTAAGACTATAATATTTCTCAGCATAAAAGCATTATCCATCATTGTATTTATATGTACATTGGAAACAGGGTTCAATACTAAACCTTGAATTACTCGCCATGGCCAAAGGAACACTAATCCACTTGTTCTTGCTATCCCCATCTTTACTGAGAAAATTATGATGTTTGAGTATTAAGATGAAGACATATTTTTTGTCCCAAGACTATGGGACATTGTTAACTATAAAATTATTTAGAGATCACCATCTCCACTCTATCCGAAGAACATCAGAAGCAGTTGAAAGAAAGTAAGAAAATGATGCAGCAGCACTTTTCATCCTTCAACAAGCGGGGATATATATTTTCCGCAAAATTTCTCGTGCTCAGAAGGGAAAGAGGCATGGGATGCTTTGAAAGAAGTTCCAAGGCATTCCTCAGGTACGCGCTGTCAAACTACATATGGATCTCTTATCATTACAGCTTATAATCGCTTCTTCTTCATCGCAGACTACCGCCTTAGCAGAAGGGAAGAGCCGGGTAATAGCAGAAAACTAAAATAAATTTTCAGAAGTAAAGGAATAATATTCCAACCCAAAAAAAAAATTCTGAAAAGTTTTCTTTTTCTTTTTATTGCAGAGGATTTCAGAAACCCTGCCATTATATAAAGCTATACTCGAAGGTGATCTGAAATCGGTACGAAAACTCTGGTGATGAGGATGGAGATGTTGGAAAGATGGCTTAAATCGGTTGTTGATGTGGGAACATACAGAATAAAATAAAAATTTGAGACACCAACTCAAGCAAACATAAGGGAGATATAAAAAACTTTTACCGACTTATTATTTCTTTCAAAAATATTAATAATTGAAAGTATATTCTTTGATTCTGAAGCTAAATTCTAATTCTAGTCAAATTTGGTGTTATCAATACAATATTTTATACTTATGACAAACTAAAACTAGTCATATTTTAAAGATGATAATTCACAAAAAAATAAATAATTTAGTTTATTCACTTGGGCCATTATCAATTAGGGGACATAGTTTTATGAAAAAGAGAAAAGTGATACTAGTTTCAAAACACACAAATAAGAACAATTTGGGCTTTGATTTGGCTGCGCAAGGCCAGATTGTGGAGGTTGATGGCCTTTCATATTTCTAAATTCAAATTATAGAACTAAATTTATTTTTCTATTTAAGTTAGCACTAATTAGTCTTCAGTAGTTTGATTTTAATTTTTTTTATAGATATTAAACACGGCACTATTGTGTGACCCATGGCCTAAGCGGTGTATATAATACTCCTTTCGATATCAGATTGAATGGCTTCCTGTCAAAAAGTGTGGAACAACTAGAACACCAGCTACTCTCCACTGGTTATTGGAATACTTCTTTGCGATACTATTATTTTATAAAATATAAATAAAAAGTTCTATAAATAAATAAAAAGTTGTTACATTATTTCACATAAAGTTTCCATTCATGTTAACACTTATTATTATTATTTTTTTAATGAATTCAGTTTCTGATTGTCAATATGTACAAATGCAGCTATCCAGAAGTTCTCAAAGGATTAAACAGCAACACAGCTTAAAGAAAATGGTTGTTCACGTACTTTTACTTTTAGAGGGTTTTTTTTTTTTTTTTTTTTTGGTATGAATCTCCAGTGGTTATTGGAATACTTCTTTCGATACTATTATTTTGTAAAATATAAATAAAAAGTTCTATAAATAAACATCAACAAAAAGATATGTTTCTCGAACTCTCTGCATGAGCAAATAGAAATTATTACAATATTTGTGCAAATAGTAATCGAGGAAACTAAAGAATTGGTGATAATTCATGTATTACTTCCAAAATGTTCAAGACTTTCCCATTAAAAAAAAAAAAAAAAGTTAGTTTCCTCTAGTTCCCTTTACACAAAAATCCTTCATCCTATTTCTAATTTCTAATGCCCTTTTAGCCAAATAATACATCAGCCCCCGGTTTCTTACAGTTACTACCAAACCCCTTCCTACCTACTTTCTTGCTGGAGTAATGCTATATTTACACCACTCTTTTATACAATTTTCATTACATCATGATGTGGCATATGTCATAACAATACAAATTCTATTATAATATTAAAAATTCAAAATAATTAAAAATTTTTGTGGTTATGACATATGCCACATCATGGTGTAATAAAAATTGTGTAAAAAAATGATGTAAATATAGTATTATTCTTCTTGCTGTTACCAACTACCAAATAATAACTGTACTACACGAGCATTCTCCATCATTATATTTATATATAAATAGAAAACAGAGTTCAGTACTTAATACTTATATGCAACAGTCTTATCGTCACTTTGTTGATGTGATAAAATTGTCTAATAAAACAAAGACATGTATTGTTAATTTTCAAAAACCTCCTCTTATGGTAGTGGTTATAGATAAAACATTAAATATACTTATTCATAAATAATAAAGATGGATAAATAAAAAAGAAAATTTGATAAATATGTGATGATAGATACTATACTATTATATCATTAAACCACTCCATTAACAAACTGAGATGGTAAGACTATAATATTTCTCAGTATAAAAGCAATATCTGATGAAAATAACTCAGATATGAAAAAATGATATTGAATTCATTTTGAATCAAAAACAGAGTACAGCAGCGCATTCTTTATATACAGCAGACTTGCAACAAACTTAACAACTTAACAAACACTAACCGTTTTAACTAATTAACTAACATTATAACAAACTAATAACTACTTGAAACGAACTTCTTAACAACTAACGAACTCTGTTATAACAACTAACTGACTCAGCTAACCATCTGCTAACCATCTTCTTCTTTATTCTTCAACATCCCCCCGCAAGCTGGAGAATGGATGCTAAGCATTCCCAGCTTGGATAAATTGGTATGGAATTGAGCAGGTGGCAGGGCTTTTGTGAACAAGTCAGCTAACTGGTCTGAAGAGGAGCATGGCATGAGATGGATCAAACCAGCTTGAACTTTCTGCCTGATAATATGGCAGTCAATTTCAATGTGTTTTGTACGTTCATGGAAGGTGGGATTAGCAGCAATTNTTAGTAATATAACAGTAAAATGCAGAGAATTCATTGAATCTTGTATAGAAATAATATATGTAACGAAATAAAAATTTGTATTCATAACAAAAGTATTAAAAATTATTATAGGAAAAAGTGCAGCACTTGTTGAGTGGTTGCAAACTTGCACGTGTATTAAAGTAGATTAGCACTAAATGAATAGACATAAAATTAAATATCTAACTGATCCTCTAATTAGAAAATTGACATGTGACACCAATGGACCAAGAATTAATAAAAAAGACTGTGTTTCCTTATTAAAGGATACGGTATTAATTTAATCGTTTTTTTAATCTATTATATTGCAAAATTGAAAGTAAAATGAAATCCAATTACTATATAGAAATGATAAAAATTAATTAATATTTCTGAATAATAATTCATGTATTGGTTATGGTTAAAAAGAGTTCCACCAGTAGGTTGCGCAAAATTTTCGTAGTGCTGTAGTTATGCTTAAAAAGTCAGAGTTGACGTAAGTTTATATTGGTCAGCACCAATAAGAGTTCAAGAAGACCTTGTGTCACCCAGAATCTGCTACATCGCCCCAAGATAGAGAGAATACGATTGCCACCAACTCAGCGATTTCAAGTTGTCTTTGAATGAATGAGGTCTGCACATCTGTCCAAGTCTTATATAATTTAAGGATATTTTCTAAGTTATCAGCCAATGGGACGCAAGGAAGAACTTGCACGATATCTATCCACTTACAGACTTGTAATCATTACCTTGAATTCAGCAGCTATAAATAGAGGACTCCCCTTGCAAAATCAGGATTTTTTGATTTTTACAACAAAAATAGCAAAGATGGTCTACGGGAAAGAGACTAACTTAATATTTTTTTTCTGAATACCATGCTCTTGTAATTCTGTTCGCAGTTTGCAACACTTGTAACTTGGCTAATAACCAAAAAAACTCATATAAAAGAAAACAATGGATGTAGGAATCGCTTTAAGCATCCAAACTACTATAAAAATTCTTACGGTCTCATTTATTATTAAATCTTTGCACTCAATTGTGAACATAATCCAGATCCCAAATTAAACATGTGTAATTTCTAAGACATGCTTAGCACTTTGTACGTGTAAGATCATTGATTTCAAAATCACGCATCAACCGTTGTTTTATTAGAAACAAAGATTCAACGTAGGGTGCTCAATTTTTATTAATAAAAATCAATTAATAGTTATGAATAATTAGTAAAATATGACTTTGATAGATTTTATTATTTTATTTCCCGTCGGGTTAGGCACGGTCCGGGCCGGGTTAGCCCGGTTTTCTTTTTTTTTTTTTGTGTTTTTTTTTGTTTTTTTTGTTTTTTTAATTTAACTTTTCAAATAAATAATTATAAATATAATTGTTTTTAGTTAACTTTTCAAATATCAATAATTCAATTCAATTCAATTTTTTTTTTGTTAACATTTCAAATATTAATTCAATTTTAATACAATAAAATTGTGATATAAGAAAAATTAGACTTATTCATTTATCAAAAAATAAAATAAGAAATTACAACAATTATTTTCTCGTTAAAAACCTCACCAAGAAAAACCCAATGGGAGAAAAACTTGGTAAAGAAAAAAGAGTGCAATAATTGACAATTAATTTACAAATTACATTTTACAAAACAACTAAATTGGGGATGGTTCACTAGGACCTCCCTCATCTGTATCATCTATATTACAAAATTGAAATGATTCTACTAAAGCATTGTCGATAACCTCGTATTGATCTTGATGGCGCGATCGTTCCCAATCTCGAAGACATGTGAGGACTTCAATCATTTTTGGAGCAAGTTTAGTCCTCCTTTCATTTAAAATCCTTCCACTTGCACTAAATGTTNCAAACAAGATGATTTTCTCAAGGCCCTTCCCAGAAAGTTCATATTGGGAGTTGTTATCATGTTCATCTCCATAACCTCAATGATGGTAGCGTTTGGAACCACTGTTTATCAGATTTTTTATGAGAAAAAGGCATATTTGATGCTCGGTTTAGTGGGTGTATCAGCCTGTTTGCCCATGCTCTTGTTTGTGGCTTCGCAATTTTCCCTCATATGGCACTTGTTCATTTACACCTATCAGCCTGGCCTTTTCAGCAAGCCAAGCAAACGTGTCCTCGACCAAGTAATAAGATAAGTCAGAGACAAAATGTTGAAGTTACTCTCGTTCCAGAGTGATTAGGAAAACCCCCAGTTTGTTGTAATAACAAAATTCTTCCACTTCTTATTGAATCTTTAATAGCTTGCTTTCTGAGATTTATTTTAAGGCTTAACAAAACTTACAATATTATGATTTTATAGATATTTATAGACTTGCTTTCTGAGATTTATGTTAATACCTAAACCTTAAAGATATTAAGATTTTTGTTATTTCAAAAACTTTGAGAAGATTTTTATTATTTAATTAAACCTTAATTTTTTTATTGTGATGTGAAAATATTTGTTATTTAATTAAACCTTAATCTTTTTATTGTGATGTGAAAATAATAACTTTTGATTAGCGTTTGGAAAGATTTATTTTTAAGTTTGTTATGTTTTTTGAAATTTTTTAGTTATATGTGTTTGGCATTTTTATTTTTAAAGTGATGTTGAATGTATACTTACTAGAATGGATATTTATAATTTTATTCTGTAAATATTTTTACAATTTTAAAATTATATTTCAACTAATTATATTATTGATTAACTTAATAATTAATTATATATTAATTTTAGTAAATATAAAATAAATGTATAATAATTGAAAAATGAAAAAACTAAACTAAACTTTCAGCGTAAGATTTTTTTTTTTCTTTGTCTTTTTTGAAATCTCTTTTCAGTGTTTAAAGAGACTAAACAGGACTGGATCCAGAAATTTCTGTTATAGTAGTCAAAATAAAAACTAATTACACATTAATATCTTTGTCCATTAATATTTATGTTAGGGTGAGCCAAAATCTAGAAATTATACATATTAATTTTATTTTATTTTAATTTGAAGGTGGGCTATGGAGTAGCATCCGCCTATGAGACTAAATAAATAATTATTCATATAAATTCTTATAAAGTTCTGAGGCTTGAATATATTTAAAGTGTAATGTTAAGAAAAAAGGAGCAAGATCAAACTACCAAAAATTAATGAAATTAAAAAATTAAAAAAAAAAAAAAGTAAATTTAAAAGGGGTCAAAGTGTAATACCTAATGAATAAGAGAGATCAAAATAGAAATAAATTTTAAAAATTATTCTGATTCAGCTAAAAGGGAAAAATAGTAGTGTCTTAAATCTGCTAATTCCAACTCTAGAAAATCATTAAACATCCTTTGAATCTTTTGGAGATAGAATAAAAATTTCAAAAATTTACTTTTTTGGAGATAGAATAAAAAGGAAAGGAAATAACTAACCCCTGGGTGACCAAATGATTTGATAGAGACTTTTGGATATATTAATTAAGAAATCATGAGTCCAAGTCTTTCTTCGGTTACTAATAGGGGTGGTCACTAGAAATCTTACTCAGCGAGCTTTTACTCGACCCGGACACCCGATCATAAAAAATAAAAATAAATAAATAGATAAAAAGGAAATTCATTTTAGTGAGCTCAGTAGTCAATTCTAATAATTCCTATGTGGATGAGATGTTGGATGAGCTACAATATAACCAATCAGGGCCCTTCAAATCAGCCTGTCCAAGTTATTGAAAACTCAAATAATTGGCCCAATACCAGTGACAAACCATAGGCTGGAGGATTACAGACCTCAATTTTGTGGACTGAGAGAGCAATGAGCAAGTTAAGCTCCACTTCCTTCTGCATACTGCAATAACAATAATTTTCCAGGTTTATAACAATGAAAATAAGGAGGGAGATTTTCACATACCTCTTCACTCATTGATGAAGTAATTCTAGAGTTTTGACGAAGAAAATGTAGAGTCGAGATGAATCTCCTCAACATGAGAAATTTTTGACAAATTCTACCTGCAACTTTCTCTCACGATCAGATAATTTTGTATCTTCTATTCTCTAAGAGCAGTAAGATTCTTCATCCCATTTAGCAGATATGACAATTATGGGCAACTCACAATATCAAGTTTATGAAGTGCTGTGGGATTTGAAAGCCATTCTGGTAGTGTTTTGATATTTGGAAATGCTTCAATCTTCATGTATTCTGAAAGACTTAGCAGAGCCTTGAAGAATCAATTGGGGCAAGTCCACTAGTTCTTGTAACTCATAAATCATGAACACTTGAACATTTCCAATTATGTTAAATTAAAATTAGGATTCCCATTCCTTTCCAAATTGTTTAATTCAGGGATTGGGCCTGGTATGAGGACTTCATCCCTAGTTAGGAGAAGGATTCGAACTGATTGTCTTCCGCTGAATATAACCCTATGCCACTAACCATAGAAGGATTCGAACATCATGCTGTCTTTAATTTACGGAGAGCATGCTCAATCTGACAAAAGAAATGCATTCTGAATATATGATACATGATATAACAAATGGAAAAGATATAAGCAATAGAGATAACCAAACAAACAGTTGATTGGGAAACGTTCCAAAGCGTTATCCAATACAAACATGATTAACTTAATCAAGCATAAATAGGGGAAATTACCTTTTCCCCTGGAAGTTTAATGAAAATACAACACACCCACAGATTTCAAGAAGTGACAAATACACCAAAATAACAATTCAAGAACAAAACGAAAAAAAAAAAAAAAAAAAAAAAAAAAAAGCAGCATCACAATTAGCAGGACTCCGCATCGAAACTTCTTCCAGTGGTTGAAGACTTCGCCAGAATCTCTGGGGAAGCTGCAACAGTTGAATAATTCAAGTTACTCAATAAGTAAAAGGTCAGAGAAGCAAATTTACTCTCTTAAAGGTTATATTATATATCACTTTAAAAATAAAAAGATTCTGCAATGAATAATTCCAGTCATTTTGTGAGTTGCATGGGGCAAAAGAAAGTGTTTCATACTATGTATTTAAAAAATACTATCTCAATTCATTCTATTCCATAGATCTAAGATATATCGATCAATTCTGATTCTTTCTTTTTCGAGATATGTAAAATCAATAATATCAATCAAATACAAATGATAAAATCAAAATTATTAATTAATATAGAATTTATAACATCAAGAAAATCTATGTGAAAGGATTTATGAATTTATATGTTACTTACAAATAATCATATTTCTCCGATGAATTAAAAAGCCTACAGAAACAATATTGTACTAGGAAACTACATAAACAAAACATGAAATTTATCGTCTATGAAAATATATATATTTCTAGTTTGTAGTAGATGACAATAATATAAAGACTTTTCATCATAGCTATTTATCAAATATTGGATAAAACTTTCCATTTACGGCAGCATAAAAAAATAGGGTTACTGCATTGATAACATTATAAAGAGATAGAGAGAAATTTTCACACGCCTGGCTATTTATTCATTATTCAATTCATCAATGAAGCTATCATGGATCCAGTTGAATCTCCGGCACATCAGATTTTTTCGGCAAATTCTTCGTGTAGCTTTCACTCAGGGTAGGACAATTTTGTATCTTCCATTCTCTAAGGTTGGTGAGGTTCTGCATCCCGTCTGGCAGAGATGACAGTTCTTGGCAACTTAAAATCTCTAGTTTTTTAAGTGCTTTGAGACTCGCAAGCCATTGTGGTAATACTTTGAGCTTTGGATCTGCTTCAATCCGCAGGTACTCTAGAGTGTCAGAGTGTCAGTCCAGTAGTTGGAGTCGCCGCTTTGCAAGTCCATCTTGCTCAAGTTGGGGTCTTCGCCTTTCAAATCCATCTTCAGATTAATCTTCGGACAACTGCGTATCACGAGCTTCTTCAATCCTTTCAGATCTTTTATATTGTATGGCAATGAGTTCGAGCTATCACAACCTTCCAAACCCAATTTTCGGAGGCCGGTGAAACTTTGCATCCATTCTCCAATCTCTTTTATAGTTATTTCCAAATATCTAATACTGGTCATCTTCTGCATATTGCGAGGTAACTTCTGAAGATTTGAACAACCAAGAAGTATTAAGGTTTGTAAATTCGGAAGTTTAGAAATAAGCTCAGGAATTTCCTGCAAACTTAAATTCCAAGATAAGTATAGACATCTCAAATGTTTCAATTCACCAATGGAATCTGGCAACGCTTCAAATTGTAGACCACTGAAGCATGACAACCTGAGGATCCATGTATTAAGGAAGGCCGTAGTAACATGCTCAGATAGTACACTTTGCATGATGATCGTCCGCAATTTCTTCGAAATAGATGGAACTTCTTGACCAGAATACTTAATGTCGAGAAATGACAAATGTCGAGCATTTCTTTTTCTTCCTTGGAATCTGAGATCAACCACTTCGCAATCTGTTTGTGCTACTTTGAGGACAAGATCATGTACAAAGTCATGCATCTGAAATGTAAAAAAATAACCATGATCTTCAACATCTTGAAAAAACATCTCGAAGTTAATTCCTTCCAATATTGCAATCCAATATCTTCCAACTCTTCTTTTTCATTATCAGTAGCAAGAAAACCTTGCTCCATCCAATGACAGACCAGATAATTACTGTTGAATCAATAACCCTTAGGAAATAAGGAACAATATGCCAAACATCTTCGCAAATGGGATGGCAAAAGAGCGTAACTCAATTTCAACGCAAATAGGACGTCCTTCACCTCTTGTTTTTGACTCCATTCTTCGTCATCTTTAATTAGCAACCAATTAGACTTCTCTCTGTTTTGATGAAGTAGGGTTCCTAAAGTTTTCACGGTTAAAGGATTGCCACCACATTTTCCCACAATTTCAACCCCAATTTTAATGAGGTCTTTATCTGGTTGTTTTCATTTGTAAAAGCCGCCCATTTCTTAAACAACAACATAGAATCTTTTTGGGAAAGGCCTTCTAAAACAGACATGTCAACCGCGCCCATTACTTTCGCGACTTGATTAATACGAGTAGTTACCACAATTTTGCTCCCATTGGGTTTCTGCGTCAATAAGTTTTTGAATTTGTCCCATTTATCATAATTTTCATTCCACACATCATCCAAGACTAACAAAAATTTCTTACCATCCAATTCATCCAGCAAGCGATCTTCTAACTCATTGACGGCTAATCCAGCTTGATTTTGACCAGTTGCAGAAGTACAAGTTTCTTTCATCAAAGTAATTATATCAAAGTCCTCAGGTACACTTACCCACATCTTTAGATCAAAGAGTTCGTCCACCGTTTTGTCACTATACATCAATTTGGCTAGAGTGGTTTTTCCAATACCTCCACCTCCAACTATGGTGATGACAGAGACCTTTTCACCTTCATTTTTTGGTTGCTTCAAAAAGTTTATAATTTTTTCCATATCACCGTCTCTCCCGAAAACTTCTGAAGCACCAACGCAGGTGTGATTTATCATCATCTCCCTCAAATTATCGCTCCAAACCTCACGCTTATTCTGACCACATTTAGGCTTAACAGCAGGTAATATTCATCTAACTTTTTTATAATATCATCGAGTGTTCTACTTTCCTTAACATAAGGAATAGATGAGCATCTCGGAATGAGTCTACTTACCTTCAATTCTTTGTTCGATGGTTTCTCCAATTCACACTCCACTTCATCCACCACATCCTTAGCATCATACAACTGATCTGAAAGCCATTCAAGGTCTTCCTGCAGCACGCAGTTCTGTGCCTGCTTTTCCTCGGCATTCAAGAGGTTGTCTTTGATTTTCAACAAGGTTACTTAAAGCTCCCTTATTGTTAACAGTAGCTGATTTATTAAGTAGTTGTACAGTTTAGTTTGTTTGTTTAAATGTAAAGTTAGTTACTATTATTGTTAAGAGAGTTAGTTACAAGTTTGGTTAGTTATTAGCTAGAGTAGTTAACTGCAGTTAGTAGTTTACTGAGTTAGTTTGCAAATATAAAAACGCAGTGTACAGATTGTATTTGTTAACCTAAAGAAATACACAGAAGTTTCCCCCAATTTTCTCTCTTCTACATGGTATCAGAGCAGGAGATTTCTTGCAAATTTTCCAGAAATTGGTTCGATTGAACCCCCATATTCTTCTGGTTCAGCTTGAAAAGGCTCAAGACTCGTCAATTTGTTCAGTTTGAGCTGTAGATTTTGGAAGCAGTGAGAGTATGTTTCTTGATTCTTGCTTTTTGGTAGCATTATCGACGTTTTCAGCCATTACGACTGCGAGAGAAACTGAAATTCAGCTCAATTTTGTTTTCAATTTTAAAGCAGCGGAAAAGTCGTGTCATATTGTCACGTCTTTAGTTTTTCTCCAGTTTGTTATTCCTGTTTCTCAACGGTTTGTCATTTTGGAATCTAAGCTCAGTCAGCTATGGTAGAAGAATCAGTTCTACCGTCAATATACTCAAATTCGCCCCTCTACGTTCATCCATCTGATACACCAGGGTCAGTATTAGTATCAGAACAGCTCATAGGAACAGAAGATTACGGTTTTTGGAGCAAAGCTATGACTGTTTCCTTATGTGCCAAAAACAAGCTAGGCTTTGTTAATGGAACTTGCATAAAATCTTCAGTACATGATCGTTTAGCTCCACAGTGGGAAAGGTGCAACTCTTTGGTTCTTGCCTGGATTTTTAATTCAGTCTCCAAAGAAATATTCAACGGGATTATGCATTCAACCAATGTTTCACAAGTCTGGCAGGATCTGAAAGATCAATATCACAAAGTGAATGGTACTAGGGTTTTTGGTATCCATAGAGAAATTGTGAATCTTACACAGGGAGCCAATACTGTGGCAATTTATTTTAACCAGCTTGAGTCGTTATGGGATGAATTGGATTCTCTGGTAAGTCTTCCTGCTCCAAATAGTGCTTTCGCAAAGACATATCTTGAACACCTTAATCAACAAAAGTTATTACAATTTTTGATGGGTTTGAATGAGTCGTACTCTATGGTCAGAAGCCAAATTCTATTGATGAATCCCCTGCCAAGTGTGAGACAAGCATATTTCGTAGTGAATCAAGATGAGAACCAAAGGATTCTAGTGGGATTGAATACTAATGCAGATGTAACTACAGCACTCTATGCTCAGAATGGTAAAAATCAGAATCCAGGGCAGAAATATAAGGGAAAGAAACCTCATATTGAATGCGATTATTGTCACCTACCTGGTCACAAACGTGAAGATTGTTACAAGCTGAATGGTTATCCAACAGATTACCAGTTTACAAAAGGAAAGGGGAACTCAAAATCCAAATACTCTGCTAATCAAGTGCAATCACAAGAAACAGTTGCAGAAACGATAGATGCAAAGTCTCCTAATAATCCAGCTGGACCTGTTTTCACATCAGAGCAGTACAATCAGATTCTGGAGCTGCTAGGAAAATAGAATGTAACCTCTACAAATAATTCAGTTGCAAACCTTCCAGGTATCTTTAATAGTACACATGATATTACATTGCCTGATTTAAATAAAAATGCTTGGATCATAGATACAGGGGCCACTGATCACATGACCTATGACCTTAATATTCTGCAGTCTCCTATTGCCATAAAACCTTCTTCAAAATCCATTGCAGGTTTACCTAATGGCACTAAGACTCATATTGCATATGTAGGTTCTGCAATTTTGGACAATGGCATACATCTCTCAAAAGTTCTACATATACCAACTTTTAGACACAATTTGCTTTCCGTCTCCAAATTTACAGTTTCTAATAACTGTACTATCAAATTTTACCCTGATTTTTGTCTAATCCAGGACCTTTACAGTGGCAAATTGAAGAGGATTGGTAACCATAAGTAAGGCCTATATTTCCTTGATTCAAATTCACAAAAATCAATAATGTCAGTAGATTCTTCGCATAAAGTTGTTTGCAATATTTCAAAAGGTCTTTGTTCAAATAATAATGTACCATGTCATTTTCAGTTCAATAAAGACTCTGAATTTCCAAATATTTTTCTTGTTGCAAATGTTTCTAATAGTGTTGAATTGTGTCACCAAAGGTTAGGACATGTTCCTTATACAATATTACAGCATATGCATAAAGATTTTGATGTTTCTAATCCTCCTCACTGCACTATTTGTCCATTAGCTAAGCAAACTAGGGTTCCCTTCCATCATAGTACTTCAATTTCTACTTGCATTTTTTATTTGTTACATGTAGACGTTTGGGGTCCATATAGGATTCCAGCACATGGAAATGCTAGGTATTTCCTTACTTTGGTTGATGATTTTTTAAGAGTAACCTGGTTATTTCTCATGGAATACAAATCTGAAGTTTTCATTACCATTAAACATTTTCTTAAAATGATAGAAACTCAATACCATTGTACTCCGAAATGTATTAGAAGTGACAATGGCCTTGAATTTTTTAATAAAGAATGTCATGATCTATTTCTTAGTAAAGGCATTGTCCATCAAAGCTCATGTGCTTATTCCCCTTAACAAAATGGAGTTGTTGAGAGGAAACATAGGCACATCATTGTAGTAGCTAGGGCTTTGAAATTCCAGTCCAATATACCAAATCATTTGTGGGGATATTGTGTGCAAACATCAGTTTACCTTATAAATAGGTTTCCTTCATCAGTTCTCAAAGGTATATCACCTTTTGAAATATTTTTTGGTCACCCTCCTTCATTGGATCACATCAAGGTTTTTGGTTGTTTAGCTTGTGCTACCATTCTTACCCAAAGGACAAATTGTCACCTAGATCTAACCCTTGTGTTTTTTTGGGTTATTCTTTGACTCAAAAGGGATACTTTCTTTATGATCTTTCTTCTCATAAAGTTTTTGTCACTAGAGATGTTCTTTTTCATGAGACCATTTTTCCTTTCACTTGGTCTACATCTCCATCATCACCTTTTCCCTTTGATCCTGAATTTCTGGATATTGAGTTACCTTCTACAACTACAGCCCCTATTGTCCCTTTATCAGTCGATTTATTGCCTGTTGTCCAGCATGCAAAACCTATAGGACCTCCCTCTCTATCTATTAATTCCTCTCCACCTCAACCTATCATTCCTCTTAGGAAATCCAATCGAATTAAAAGGCCCCCTATCTGGACTTCAGATTTTGTATGTCCATCTATTTCTCCTTCCACTTCAACTTTAGCCACTTGCATCCCATATCCTATCTCTAATTTTGTATCTTATAGTCATATTTCACCAAGCTACCAAGCCTTCTTATCTCATCTCAATCTAGTAGAACCCTCTTCTTTTAATAAAGCTTCTCAAGATCCTAATTGGGTAGCTGCCATGCAAAAAGAGATACAAGCCATGGAATTAAATAAAACCTGGTCCTTAGTCCCTTTACCCCAAGGTAAGAATCCAATTGGTTGTAAGTGGGTCTATAAACTCAAATATAATGCTGATGGTTCCTTAGAAAGATATAAGGCAAGATTGGTGGCAAAAAGGTACACTCAAACAGCAGGTGTGGATTATGTAGAAACATTTTCTCCCGTTGTTAAAATGGTTACCATTAGATCCATTTTGTCACTTTCTTCCATGCATAATTGGCCACTTTACCAAATGGATGTGGATAATGCGTTTTTGCAAGGGGATTTACAAGAAGAGATTTATATGACTTTGCCTCAAGGTTTTGCAAGGCGGGAGGGGGGGCGGGGGGGGTGAGAGGGGTAGCCTATAGTCTGCAAGTTACACAAGTCTCTATATGGACTTACACAGTCATCTAAAGCCTGGAATTACAAGCTTACTCAAGCCTTACTTGCTGGAGGATTTACTCAATCTAAGGCTGATTATTCTTTATTCATTAAGAGGATGCATTCTCATATTATGCTAGTTTTAGTCTATGTAGATGACATTGTTCTCACAAGGGATAGCATTGACATGATCAACTTCACCAAACAGCTGTTGCATTCTCATTTTAAACTCAAGGATTTGGGTGTTCTAAAATATTTCTTGGGTTTAGAGGTAGCAAGATCTTCTAGGGGTATTCACTTATGTCAAAAAAAGTATGCTTTGGAGCTTATATTTGAATCAGGTCTGTCTGCATCCAAGCCTTTTGCTGTTCCTATGGATTCTACCTTGAAACTTACATCAGTTGCTTATGATGACCTTTTCCCTGCTGGTCTTGATCCCCCTCTTCCTGATCCGAGTGTTTATCAAAGGTTGGTGGGTAAGTTGCTATACTTATGCATGACTAGACCAGACCTAAGTTTTTCTGTCAATCTTTTAAGTCAATTTATGCATAGTCCCAAACAATCACATATGACTGCAACACTTAAAGTGGTGAAATATCTTAAGTTTGCTCCTGGTTTAGGTCTATTTTTTCCAGCTGACAATCTTATGAATTTATCAACATTTTGTGACTCTGATTGGGGATCTTGTCTCATGACAAGAAAGTCAGTTACAGGGTTGGTAGCGTGCCGAATGCTCCAAATTAATAACTTTATTAACCTAACTACTAAATTGCATATAGGGTGAGCAAAGGTCGATCCCACAGGGAATGATTCGATTAAATCCTATGTTCTAACCAATAACCACAACAAAAACAACAGAAAAATAAAATAAAATCCTAAATGGTAAACATGACAACAAAATAAAGAAAGGGGTTGTAGACAATGCAATCAAAAGTGAAACAAATAAATCTCAAATGGTAGAAAATATCAAATTAAAAACAATCAGTTCTCGGTTCAAGATCCACCTAAACATGCATTGGATATGAACTAACCGTAACATTATTCTATCTCATTATTATGGAATTATTGACCCTAGGAAACAACAAGCTCTGTTACCCAAATTTTCCCTTAATTGTCACTACTAAAACAAGCTCTTCAATTAGATCCTAACCTTTGAACAACCTAGAATAAGCTCTCTAAGTTTAATTAAATGGCAGCCTTAAGAATTAGGAAAATAGATCAATCCAAGCAACAATCACGCAAGATCGGATTATTTAAGTTAGGTTATGTTATTCAATGTGACAGACTGAGAACTTTTCCGTAGTCATCTATCATCATGTGTTACTCATTGAATAGAAAGACGACAATTATGTATCATAATTCTTAATTCTAACAGATAAAATTCCGATTCAACAATTTAGCAGGCCATTACTAAATCACCCAAACAAAAATCATAAACAATTAAAACATAATAACATAAACAATTCCAATAAGAATGAGATTAAGAAAAATGTTACTAAAGTTAAGTTATACCAGTGACATGAATTCAGGCTTCAA